TTTCTTTCTCTTTCGTTCTCTGGCACTCTCTCTCTTTTTACCTCTCTCTCTCTCTCTCGTGCTCTTTTTCTTTCTCTCCCTCGTTCTCTCTTTTTCTTTCTGTCTCCCTATTTCTTTCTCTTTTTCTTTCTCTCTCTCGTTCTTTCTCTTATGCTGTCTCTCTCAATCGCCCCCCTTTCTCTCGTTCTCTCTCCTCTCTCGTTCTTTCTCTTATGCTGTCTCTCTCAATTCCCCCCCGGCCCCCTCTCGTTCTCTCTCCTCCCCCCCTTCTCTCTTTCTCTCTCTTTCTCTCTTACTCTCTCTTTCTCTCCCTCTCTCTTTGTTTTCTTTTGGGCCATTGCCAGTGTGCCTTGTCTGATTTTGTCAGACAGGGCCCCCAAAACCCTGTTAAGAGTTCATATCGGTTATACCCGTCCGTCTGCGGAGAAGATAAGAGAGCGATGTCTGTCTGCCTACCCACCTGTCTGTCCGTTCGCCTGTATGTACTTTCTTTTGCTTTTTGTTTGCGTCGTTGAATTGTTTCTGTCTTTTGAAGAAGAAGATGGAAGACCCCCCTGAGGATATACCTAGCCTCCGGCTGAATGACCCATGCGTTCAAAAAGGTGGAGGCCAAAGGATAAAGAATGCACGTGGATCAACCACGTGGCTGGGAGTCTAACCGCGTGGAATAATCTGAACGGTAGCCACGTGCTCTTTTTTTTATCCACGTGGTTTTGTCTGGAAGAACCACGTGGTTGTACGCAGAAGAACCACGTAGTTGGTCCCGTCTTGTCCCCTACTCTGTCTGGCCTTGCGAGCGGATTTAGATCTTATTCCTGGACATCTTGAGATCTTTCATTTTTTTCATAGAAACTAAAATAGTAACTAACATATGGTGATGTTTGAATCACACCCTTTGGGGTATTCTGACTCTCTTGGTTGAATAATGCGAGTGAACTCAATGATGTGTCCAACACGAGGAAAACGAGAGGGCTGAATCCCATGTCAGATGTTGTCCGTCCCTTCCACTTTGCTTTTCTCGGAAAAACCCTAAACGGCTAAATCTTCTATTCTCTTCGCTCTTGTGTGTGCTAAGAGTGTGCGCTGTTTTATTTTCAAGAAAAACCAGGCGAGCGAGCCAGCAAGAAATAGATAGCGACGGTGAGTGTGTGTGTGTGTGTGTGTGTGTGTGAGAGAGAGAGAGAGAGAGAGAGAGAGAGAGGATCGCGCAACTTTAATGTGAGGAGCCTAGGTATGGACAGTAAGAGAGAGAGAACGGATCTCGCAACTTCTATGTTCGGAGCTTAGGTATGGCAAAAGAGAGAGAGAGAGAGAGAGAGAGAGAGAGAGAGAGAGAGAGAGAGAGGGGCATGAAGAATGTTTTGCCTTGGCGTGGGGAATGTTGTTGGGAGAAGGTCCACGTGGACAAGAAGCCGCATTTCGGCGCTTCCCTTGCGTCGTTCGCATGCCACTTTTCCATGCCTCTTTTCATGCTTCTTTTCCATTTCCCTTTGCTGCTCGCGTCGCTCGCTTCGTGCCTCTGCATCCATCTCGTCTGCCGGTCGCCAGAAAAGATTGAAAATAGAAATCGGACGACCTCTACTCTGGTTCCACTTTTGAACACCGTGTCTCTGCATCCTATCCTCTGGCTGTAGTGGTTAAAGATACTTGGCTCTTCTTGAGGCCGGAGTCGCCGGTTCGAATCTGTGCTTTTGCACGGAGGAGGGGGCTTAGGCCCAGAGGCCGAAGTGGTTAAGATCCATAACTACGCTACTGTGTCTGGTTTTGAAAATTAAAACGAGCTTTTTCAGAACGTGAACCGACGTTTTGGAAGTTGTGACAAAAAACATCGTACAGATTCCTTGTGACGTTTTGGAAAAAAAGATCTTCAACTGTGTCGGACGAAGAGAGAAGGAAATGTGCACTGGCCACCAAAGGGGGGGAGGACAGTACCTGTGTGGAGCCGGGGCGCCAGTGCACTCACCGCTTGCTGTGCCCAATCTGTGAAACAATTGTGAATCGAGAAAAATCCCTGTGATTCGATTCCAATCAATTTCTCTGCTCGTTCTCGTCTTGTAGTAACAAGAGAGAGAGAGAG